GACTGTAAATATTATCTTCTATATATCATATTTATCAGTCCGAGCAGCGTTTATTTATTTATAAACTACTATGTGAATGGTATGTGCATTTATGTGTGACGTCTATGTGAATGGATGTGGATTCATGTGTAATGCCTATGTGAATGGCATGTGGATTTATGTGTAAAGTCTATGTGAATGGATGTGGATTTATGTGTAACGTCTATGTGAATGGACATGGTTTTATGTGTAACGTCTATGTGAATGGATATGGATTTAGGTGTAACTGTTATCACGAAATGGCACTCTAATATGGTGAAAAATACGATGTGACGATGGAATTATGCGATTGTATATGTTCACCCAGAGAAAAGTGAAAAAACCCAGTGGTTACTCACATGTGTGACAAACGTCACAGCTGGTAATTCGATCTTTAACCATGGATCTGGGTCGCTTGTGGAGTTCATATTTGGTTTCCAGCATTCTATAAGAGTGAAAAGATGTAAGAGAAAATGCATGTACATTTAAACTGAGTAAAACTTGTGATGGGAGCCTGAGAGGTATGAATTCAATTACAAAAGCGTTTAAGTTCGTGATAACATTAACAATATGTCACCTGCAATGCAATTGTGATAAAAAATATACCATACATACTAGTTTATTTGTCTGAATATCTTACCATTTCCAGGCTGATCGAGACATAGTATGAAATCCATTACACCGGAACCAAAATTTCTATAGCCGAAATAAACAGGGTCGGATGGATTCAGTAGCGGATTGGAGTCCTCATACTGTAGAATAGCTGGTTCGCCACACCGTCCAGTCTCAATATAGAAAATATCATCTGTAACCCTGTAGTTTATCCAGAAAGTACTAAACTGGTCCTTTTTCAAAAAATCGGACTTTTCGGTTTGCTCATAAATTTCTCTCATCTCGTCTTTTTCGTTATAAAACTGTTTTTTATGTTTAATTCGTTCACCGGCTTGGTATCTAAGCATATACCACTCAGCATAATCAGTGTACCTTGAATATGTCATAAAAGCATTGTTGTCACCTTTGACACTCACATAGGCAACCGATGTTACTAAAGGATTCGGTAGAAACTGCACTAAAGATTCGTTTGTACCATTCAATTCTTTGCAATCTGAAAATCAAAAACTGTCTCTTAATAATAATAATGAGAGTAACAATGTACTGTATAACATCACTTAGCAACAGACCTTTAGTGCATGTGCATCGGGCCGGTTTCATGATGAATGTGTTTGGACAATTATGCATAAATGAGCATATACATGTATTCTGTTTAGAGTTCATGTTACAATTACCTACCAACAAGGTGTGTAACCTTTCTATAATAATATAAGTTTAAATGGCGATGATCGTTGCGCTACGCATGCGCCAGATATGGGTCTCGTATAAACAAAGATGGCGATTTTGACTGTTGTGCACACCAACGAGTACAAACTGAGAGGTTACCAATCTTTATTAATTAGTACTGGTGCCCAGGAAACAAATCGTACTTGAGATTTCATTAGAAAATTGCATTGGATTGTAGGCAAATCAATGTTTATCAACACAAATGTCGCACATGCGCAGCGCCACGACTACCGCTATTTAACATTTCAAGTGATGTTTCGCATATCATGTATTGAATGCATATGTTTAATATGTCAGTGAATTACTGGTTGGGTTTTACTAATATTCCACTCACAAATATAGGGATTAATTTTTCTTGTGCCAGTTTTAATGAAACAGTTTGGAATACAAGCATGTATTTTTTTTTTGTATAACAGAGTATTACATTCACAGCTTCGTAAAATAAGAGAACACATGAAAGATGGGACACGGGGTAAAACATGCAGAACTTGCTGATACATCCTCCTCCTATAATTCCAATTTTAGCTTCCATAGAAATACTTAATATGTCCGCCCAACCTGACACCGGGTTATAAGAATACACGTATGGGTTGTTAGATTGGTTTGTTTGTTATGTTGAGAGCGAATGGGTAGGTGGGTATGTAGCTAGCTAGCTAGGCAAAGAGACGTTGGTGTGAACTCTGCGGTGAACTATAATGCACATGTAATTTAGAGCTTCATTTTTGTTGGAATGAATATATACTTACATCCACGATTACGTGCCATGTCAGGAGAATGAGCTTCATCGTTATAACTTGAAGAACTCAGTGTTGTCACGTTTTGGTCATATACCCCTAACGACATCGTGGACGCTGTGAAAGAAAGTCTTTTACTATTCATTTAGCCAGAAACTCAACGAATACAAATGGCGAACAATATAGCGAGTATGGGACGTGTGTACGTTATATTAGGCAACTTACTACAACATAATTTGTATTCTGTCTCGCCCGATCCATCAATGCGATAGTAAACATTATCCCCGACGTACCAGTTAGGATCTTCTCTCCAATCCTTACACGAGTGTGCAGCTAATGAGAATTTACGTAATAAAAGAGTGATACGTACTTTCTATAAACGGAATATTACTATAATTATGGTCAACAGAAATGATATGATATTGCTATTTTCATGGAAACTAAAATATAAAGTTGCAACATAACAATGTGTAACAGTAACCCACAGCATGTTTAAGTGAATGTGCATGTGTAGTTCTGGGGAAAAAAACTATTGTACGATCACACACATATGACATGGGATAATTTAAGACATTTTGAAGCACAAGCTCACCATGGACAAGAAGTATGTGTCTGAAAAATGATTGTTGCTCGATCGAATATCAAGTAGTCAGTTGTGAAGCCATAAACTCTTATAAATGTAGTAGTCAGAGGACAGGTCACTTTTATATTACAAATTCTGCATGATTTGTTTTCCTTATAAAATTATCACAACATCATACCATATTGTAAACACACTATGGCATCTCATATAGTAACATATTATCGAAAATAGGTAAATGTGTTGACAGGAAAAATAGACTTGTTGATACGTACATTTTCGACATCCATATAGCTTGATTTGCATACACGGTCTGTCCTCGTACTCATTAGATTCTAGTCGTAAAAATCTCGTGTAAATATGTAATGGAAGGTACCCAGATATCAAAGTACTGTGAAACACATTCCCAGGAAAGACCTACGAAAATTGAAACCATAATATTACCGACAGAGAGCCACGTATATGACGTAGTTTATAATGTAGTAAAACAAAGTACCCAGTACACCAGTAGGCCCGTCGCGTGCGTGGCGTTGAAATAAAATGAATGGAAGAAAGTATGATTGGTTACGTCGGACATTATTTATAATATAATAGTTTTTTTTTTCAAGTAAATGATGTATTGGACGACTGCAGAACACAACAATTACGACTACAATTACGGCCTTTCATATTTTCCTTTACCTATCACGGTCACAGAAGCGCTTCGTCAATAGAGTGGGACTTATTATGCGTTGCGGGTATTTTCTTGTACATGCACGTTGTTAGAGTAAACATGCGTGTAGGTATATTGTTGTAAAATTATCAGCTTGGTATAAAAGTATGACGGGATAGATTCTGTGTAACTAACCATGTCTTGACCTCGGTCGTCCAGCACCCGGGTGAAATTGACCCCGTCCATACTATGTGATACAAAGAACGAAGTTATTCTTCCTTCCGTCCCTTTAAATATTAAAACCTAAACAGATACATACAATTTGGCAGTGAAAAAATATATTCGAATATTGCATATGACAGATTTTATAAGATCAACAGACAAGGTATGATTAATTATGCTAACCTGACTAACGAATGTTGGAGCTTTGAAGTCCACCTGAATCCATGACGGGGAATCGATGTCACCACACCAACCTCCCTGACCTTTTTAATGATAAAACATTCTTGTATTAATAATACACAATTAATATGAACGCTCTTCTCCAGTCTCATGGCGTGGCAGATTATTGTTCACGAGGAATTTTACTTACCATAACGGACTTTCTGAATATCATCTGTATTTGTTGAAGCATCTAGTTGACTGTCTTCGATGTCTCCATTTTGCATTCCAAGATCGTCGTTACATGACCAAGCTTAAATTAAAAAGCCCTGTATATTATGTGTGTGCGTTTAATACGAGAGGATCTTTCTGGACAGAGTGAATATCGCGTCACAGGACGAAGTACATTAGTTAGCCTCAAGGTTTTCCTACTAAACTGTTAATAGGTTAAGAATTGAATTATTTTATTTCCCAGGTTTCGCCGTATAAGCATATTATATAATTATACTCAAGAATAGAAATGGAAATATTTTGACGACTATTGGCTTGACCACATTTTAACAACAACCCGTGTTGTTTCGTCACAATTGATACACCTGTGAATAGCGAATTGAGAGAGAACACTCAGTGGCAGTTGAATAATAATAAAAAAATTGCGGTGGAAATCATACGTATGTAACTTTTATACTTAACAATGCTTATACTTTAATAGTATACGAATGACGCAGAGGTTCTGAATATTCAAAATCTGTAGACACCATGAACATGTCGATCTACCCTCCTTCAAGAAAGAGTGTGTTACCTTTATTTTCAAGAGGAAGCAAATCAATTTCACATATGCTTATCTGGGACGAAATATCCCAAATAACTAGGTGCATATAGGTTGCAAGTCTTGGTTGATCGCAATGTACATACAAAGCCTCTGGGGAATCCAGCATCGATTCAGTGATCTGGGACATACATATGTCATCGTCAACTGGTGTCTCTGATTGTCCAAGGTATATTTTACTGTACGTGTATTTGAAACCTGTTGTGAAATTAGCAGAAAATCCATGAATGGAATATTATGTTTTCTTACAAAAGGGTAGAGCTGCAGTTATTGTATTTCCTTTTCAACTCAATTTGGGATATCGAATTTAAATCCCAGAAAGTAACGTCCGATCGAATTGCCAGTAGAACACGCAAGTACGAGTGGCTGAATCGAATACTTTAATCGTTGATTAAGCGTGGAATAAAGAATTGAGTTAGATATTTACACCACAGATAAATAAAACAAAAATACAAATTCTGACGTGACTAAAAATAAGTAAATATTTTATAAAATTTAATATCTTAATCAGTTTTGTTGTATGCGATTGGTTATCGACATAAATGTTATTGATTTGAACGAAACGGAACTGGAAATATGTGAAAAACGCGTGTATAAAAGTGGACTTGCTTACAGTCTCTTGTTGTGGGAATTGTTAAGAAGAATTGGTTCAAGTTCAAGAATGGCAGACTAAACCGCGTAAGGACTGCAATAGATGACTTTATTGAACGGAAGAACTATGAAGGAAGAACGAACAAAACGAACGAACTGAAGAAGGACTGAAGAAGAGACGTTTCGTCTCCTATTTATATGCTCAAAATAAATATTGTAATAATGGTTACAATGAATATGGCCTTGCACATGATTAGCGAAAAGATTGTTTGAAATTAAAATAATCTCATTGGGTGGCTAAATCTCAGTCAGAATCCTAAATTGTAATCAAGCTCAATTTTCCGACACTTGTTTTTGTTTTTTTCAATATAATAAAATAAGGTAGTGTATAAATGGCAAAATCCTGGTTAACGGGAAATAAATGTTTATAAGTATGGGTAGCAAAAGGAACAGCTTCCGGAAGTCAAAGTTAGAATACCATTTTGTTATTGGCTACTGACATACACCAGAGGTGGTGGCACGACATTTTGCATGGGGGGGGGGGGATCTGCTCACCATCCTTCGCGCCCGATGTGCGACCTTAATAGAAAAAAAATTGAAATCTAGACCCTCTGAAACGCTATTTCCTGTATTTTGAGGGGCAAGACATTCCCCTTCAACTGTGTTGCATCGACACAAATACACTATACGTTTTATGGGCACACCGTTCCTGTACGCCATTCATTTTAGTAACAGAGTGCTCATGTGAATGGGTGTGAGGGAAGACAAACATCGCAGCGTAGGTCAGATTTTAGAGATGCGCTTCGTTGGTGGAGGGCACAACGAATAAAACTATGCATTCCTTGAATCAATAAAAAATGTTCTCATGTGGCATCAATTAGCGTACCAGTCTCTGTTGCTAGGATACTTACGACATGCTGTGGCCAAATCACATGCCTGCAAACAATCGTCATTGTATTGTGGGTAAATTATCATATCCTGAATTTCATGTGGTTCGAACTCTAAGGTAAGCCATGGGGACTCTTCTTTTTTCGTTATAGCGCATGTTGTGATCTGTCCGTCCACTGCATTCAGTGCCGTTGTAGTATCAGATAAGTCATCACTCTGAGTAGCCTCAACGAACGAACTTATTTTTGAATTTGATTTCCCTGAAATAAACAGAAACGTAGGTATGATTAAGCAGTTTCCCTGGAGAACTTCGCTTTGCAAGTGATTAAATACCATAACATTTGCTTAATAAGATATGATGTGACTGTCACTGGCTTACCCCTTTCAAAGATGCAGTAATAACTATCGATATCGAGTTTGTTGTCCGTGTATGACCAATACCATGCAGGTTGTGTGTAGCCACTCTCAAACCAAACTTGACATGACTCTTTAACTGAAATGAGTTAATTGCCGTAATTCGTGATTTTTTAAAACCCAAGTATTATATCGGTTAACAACTATGCAGTCAGATAATACTCTGGAATAGGTAGGACAACATAATATATATATATATATTTTATGTTTAATTAGAGGTGTTGGACATGTTCAATCAACACTTACCAACAGGGCATCCGTATATCTCTACCCGTAGAGCAGGGGCCAGGGTCCAGGTAAGAGGAACAAATCGTACAGCAGATGCCAGTATGTTGGGGTCCAGATTAATATACTGTGTGACGAATTTGTCCACATTTCCTGTAAATGTCTAACAATATTTCATGACATAAGTTACATCTCTTTCTCTCAATAATACCGTCGAACACACTCATTATTTAAAGCGGAGGGGTGGTCACCTACGCATGTGCGGGAATTGAGTCCCAAGCGACGATAACAACGCACGCTGAAAACACAAAGGCTCATGGGTAGACGCCTGTTTGTAAACATCGATCCGTTATGGTTGTTTGCCGCATGCGTAGGTGACGACACCCCCGCTTTAAACGGTTCACTTACCACCGGTTGTCCATCATTGTCATTGTAGTTAACATAGTCTATGCGAGCAACGCTGTACTGTAACTTGAATGTTAATATTCTCCAATCAGTCATAACGTTATCACCATCTACAACAGTATATCCCTGAACTGCAATCTGTTTGAACAATCATACATGTACTATGCGTATTATGAGGGAGAATACACGAGATAACTAGCGATAAGGTGATACTGTGACGTCAGAATTACGTACGCAGATGGAATCAATGTCGTTTAAATGCTAGCAGTGTTTGGTGGTGTTGTCGGTCATCGTTTAGAATTAGTATATCTCACAAAACCACTATTTGTTTTTGATGGATGACAATAAAATTATTGACCCATTAACGTCGCATTGTCGATAGAGGGTGTGATTTATAAAGAATGAAATACAACTGAGGAAATAAAACTTATTATTAGACCTCATGGCCCTATCAACAAATCAAATTCGCACATTTGGCGGTCGATATATTCGAGCATTGACTTCTCAGAGGTTAAAGAGGTAATATTCGGCTTTTTCGCGTGCGCAGACCTAACGATCGATCTAATAAATGCTGATTCGCCGTTGAGGTTAGTTCTGAATACAGTCATGTGTATAAACATAGCGGCTTCCGAAATGTAGCTAGTTGATACCTAGACATCTCTTAAACGTGACAGACATTTCGGAAGGGATTATGGAATATAAATAAATACGAACCATTGAAGTGTGATAAAACAGCTACTTATGAATGGAGAATATTCTGAATATACGATATACAGGTTTGTTGTTTCGCAGAGCGCATTGTTGACCGAGGCGAATGGACCTCGGCCCGGGTGAATATTTCTATAATATCATATGAATGTAAACAGGTCGAGTTCATCGACTGAGAAGGCGCTGAAATAGTTACATTATAAATAATGATGCGATGAACGATAATATTTACCCTTTTAATAGTGTTTAATCCATTCCAGAAAACTTCTAAGAACGGTTCCACATCATCATCAGATGGACTCCACGTAGCTACAAAAACAAAATACAAAGTGATTTGCCAACCGGACTATAATGGTGTTATAATGTAAGCATTTGCGGAGGACAGGAATATAACAAGAAACTAAACTATATATTCCTCACGCGTTGACACCCACATATAAAACCATATTTTATTTCAACTGCTGAGTGAACTGTTTTCTATAGCCAACACCATCAACCAGTTTTCCTTTATCCACCTCTGCTTCGAGGCAAATATGGTAAGGTTTGCTTATCGACGAATATACTAAATATGTCCCTAGGGCTGGAGATGTACAATCAAAGTCATAACACATCAAGAACAAGTTACCTGGTTTCCACAGTTCGACACACCATCATTCCGAATTGTGTATAATTATAGATTTGACTAAAACGTGGTAACATCCCGTTATTAAAAAATCCAGATTTATTTCTATTAATACTGTTTCCCGCTTTTAGCAAGCATGACAATGCGTCTGTATGAGTTAATACTGTGCGTAGAATAATTTAATCTACTTCATCAACCTCAGAATCTACATAATTCAATATTATTTATTTTTCCATTAAATTATAAACTTTGAATTATAAACCATATCACCAAGGGAAAAAGGATTATGAATATGTTTGTATATGTATGTTTAGAATTTTAATGATTTACAAACGATGATTACTTACTAGAATCAGATCATTTAAAAAAAAGAAGGAATACTTTACATAATAATAATAAACTTTATTTAACGAAGGTGACATAGTTTTCACTTATCTTGTCTATGGCCCTCGTCTATGTACATCTATAAGACGTTCGAATTCTAGGTTAATATAGTTGCAGTTACAGTCACACAATACAATATGCACTTTCTATTATAGAGCCATAATGTGAAAGTAAGCCAAGCCCAGTGTCTATCGAATGTGTGTGCTATAATTAAAGATATAGTCAGAAAGCTGGGTATGGCAGCTTATTCATGAAATGGGTTAAATTTGTAAATGATATTTCTTAAAAGCCATGAAAAATAAATTATCTAAGAATAAATTATACTTTTTTTTATCCGGTATAATTTGCTTACTTGGTTTATTGTTAAATTATATTTTCACAATGAGAAAAGGGTGTCGAGTCGAGTGTAAAGTTTTATATTGGCCGTCGTTTAGAAATAACAACGAATCAAAATATTTCAATAAATTCCATTTTCATTTATGTTCATTCATACTGTTCCAAATGTCCAGCCTAATTTGCATTCCTTGTTTAAATATATCATGTCAATTAATTACTCATGCTTATATGCAAATAAAGGCCTAAAAAGTATTTTCGTTATTTTAGTATATTTCACTTAAAAAGACAGGTTGTGCAGTGATGAAGTAGCGGGATATGTCCTGTCAATCGGCAATCATCGAAAATAGTGTAGAAAATCTATTTATGCCTACTAGAAATAGTTTAATATAAGTAACTATGCATATAGATGATACCATGATATATAAATGTATCTCAGAGAACAAACGTCACTGGTTAGATCATTCTCATTATGATATACTAGGCTTTATATGTATGCAGAAATATATTCTGCGTGTTTTACGTCAGAGATTCGAAATACGCATGTCCTTCTAGTCACTGCATGTGCATGTCCATGTGCATTACAGGATCTTTGGAGCATTGTTTGCTTGCGTAGGATTGGGGGTTACTGTGGTTCAATGAGGTGCGTGTCTACGTAACGTTTAAAGGCGCTTTGAGTGACGTAACTGTGGCATATTTCGTAAACCGGCATTGTCTTGGCGACGTAACTGTGGCATATTTTGTAAACCGGCATTGTCTTGGCGACGTAACTGTGGCATATTTTGTAAACCGGCATTGTCTTGGCGACGTAACTGTGGCATATTTTGAAAACCGGCTTGTTTTGGCGACGTAACTGTGGCATATTTTGTAAACCGGCATTGTCTTGGCGACGTAACTGTGGCATATTTTGTAAACCGGCATTGTCTTGGCGACGTAACTGTGGCATATTTTGTAAACCGACATTGTCTTGGCGACGTAACTGTGGCATATTTTGTAAACCGGCATTGTCTTGGCGACGTAACTGTGGCATATTTTGTAAACCGGCATTGTCTTGGCGACGTAACTGTGGCATATTTTGTAAACCGGCATTGTCTTGGCGACGTAACTGTGGCATATTTTGAAAACCGGCATTGTCTTGGCGACGTAACTGTGGCATATTTTGTAAACCGGCATTGTCTTGGCGACGTAACTGTGGCATATTTTGTAAACCGACATTGTCTTGGCGACGTAACTGTGGCATATTTTGTAAACCGGCATTGTCTTGGCGACGTAACTGTGGCATAATTTGTAAACCGGCATTGTCTTGGCGACGAATAATTTACCGTGGTTCAATGAGGTGCGCGTCTGCTTAAAGAGTCAAGGCGCTTTGCCGTGGTCGTGACGCGTGTTTATATGTTCGTATATAATATTTTCTATCACACTTACCGCCAGGAAAATTCAGTGCACCTTGGTGGGGCAAGAAACCATCTTTGGCGCTGCTTGCAACAATAAACATAATTTTATCATCCAAACTCATGTGTTCCACCCCTAAAGAATCCATACAATCCTCTTCAAGAGCATGGGCCTCACTGTCGAAGTACTCTACAATGAATAATCAGGATAATAACAAGATTATTTTAATGGTATAAACTTTT